TCGATGAGGAAGCAGGCCACAGCGGCAATTTGTTGCAAATCTCATGTGGGGAGGGTTCGGTTGATGTTCAAATGGCTACTCTTTTTGGAGAAGATGTTTCGAGTGAAGAGCTTCTTCGTCAGGAACAAAGCAACTCACGTTCTAACCCCAGCAATAGTAGAGCTCCGCTTCGTCACTTCTGTCCTGTGGAAGGATGCTCTCGAAGTGTGTCTAGAGACACAATAGGTTTCGCTTCCCTTTCTACAGTTCGTGCGCATGTTGACTTGCACATGGGCGGAGAATTGCCTCGTCAGCCTCCGGAAGGGTGGCTTGAAACTCAGGGCTTAGCTGCGTGTCGATGCTGCGGCTTAACGATCTCTCGGCGGATAAGGGATTTGCGACATCCTCGGTGCTCGATAATCGCCCCTCGTGTCCCCAACCGTCACGACGAGATTCTTGACTCGCACGTTCTCACTGATCATCGTTTGCCCACCCTTGAAGACATCTTCTTGTGTAATGTCCTGAGTAAAGAGCATTTACCAGCTTCGCTTCTTCCGCTGGCACGGGAAGAGTACGGCAAAGTTATTGCCCGAGCTTTTCAATATAATGTTGGACTGGCTTTAGTGGGAGGGGGCACTATTATGCGATGTTCCGGAAATCCTATAGGGGACCCCCCATTGTTTAGGGCGGTCCTCAATTATGCGATGTTTGCCGGCCGGGGTTGAAGGGCGGGGGGCCGGGGAGCCAAAAACTAAAAACAGTTCTGAATAAGAAACTCCGGAATTTTTGGTGTCCAGCCTTATTTAAGTTCCTTTTAAAATTTCATTACGAAACAGGCCCCCAAACAATTTTCCAAGGGAGTAGCCCACGAGCTGCCCTGATTCGCTTTAGCAAGTTGTTTCGGTGGTCCGCATTTATGCGGAGCCCCGGCGACCGTGGAGCTACAAAGCCTGGAAAGCTTAGACCCTCAAGCTTCAAGGCTTCCCCTCAACCCTCGACCCCTAGCCGCCCTACCCCCAGCCCCGTCCCACCCCAGCCCACACTATTCAGGATCCCCGAAAACCCCAAAATTGTTTGGGGGGGGGGGGACCCCTACGTACTAAAGCGAGTCCAACATTAATCGGGTCGATGCTTAGATCCTTGATGCTGATTCTGAGCCTAAACAGAAGGCGCGCCGGGCTTGGATTGAATTTGTCATGTTTGGAAAATGCGTCCTGAGGCAGGCGAAAAGAGGACAACGCCCCGTGCAAGCTTACCACTTTACTCAGTCCCTTTTACACCGTTGGAAGGCCGGGGACCGATATGGGTTGTGGTTAGAAGCTGTGGCTGCGTCTCGTAATCGCACTCGAAGGGAGAGGCATCAACAGGAAAGACAAGCTGTTCTTCATCGGGAGGTTGAGCGGTTGGTCTCGTTGGGGAGAGTCGGAGAAGCGCTAGAAGATTAGTCTCGCCAGGTCTCGCCTCTGACACGCCCGCTGTTAGAGCTCAGCTCCTCAGGAAATTCCCAAATCGCAACGAACCTGACGTATGTGGCGATGAAGTCGTTCAACCTCCGGATATCCCTCTCGAAACAGTTTCTTCTGCGATCTACTCTTTCCGTCGGGGAGCAGGCCAGGGCCGGATGGAATACGTGGGGATTTCCTCCGTGATATGTTGGGGCAAAGGCCTGATGAGGAGCCGATTGGCAAGCTTTTCCGTGATTTGGTTCAGCTTTTGGCCTTCGCCCGTTCTTTGGTGGGGGTCGTATTGTGGGAGTTGGTAAGAAGGATGCCACTGGTAAACCGATTTCGCTCGAGACCGATGCTAGACCCATCGTGCTCGGCCTTACTTGGCGAAAACTTGTCTTCAAGGCTACCTTGGCTCTCGCTCGGGCAGGGATTCGGGAAAGGCTAGGAGATCATCAACTGGCCCTCACTAAAAATGGAGGTGAGATTATGGTTCATGCTGCGCGCGCTTGGGTTCAGCAAAGCCGAGATGATTCCTGCACGGTGTTATTACAAAAAGACATTCGTCATGCCTTTAACGAAGTTAGACCAAGTGAATTCTTGAAAGATTGTAGAAATCATGCTCCGGCTTCAGCGCGATTTGCTCATTATGTTTATGGCATGAACAGTCATTTGGTTTATGCTGATCACCTTCACGCGTGCCAACGAGGGCAACAAGGCTGTCCTATGATGGGGCCGATGTTTTGTCTCACACGGCGTCGAATGTTTGAAGCTGCAAGGAATCAGACTAGTCGTCCTGCTCCTGAATTTGAGGTTGAATTCGCTTATTCGGGGGGCAAGGTTTCAGATGTCTTGGCCACTTTTAAGGCAGAGATTGCTCTCGCTGAAACGTTTCGGCTGAAATTCGACTACTCGAAATGTACTCTCCATCTGCTCGCGGGTGAACAATTTCGTGGAGATGTGTCAGAATTTCAGGCCTTGGGGATCCGAATTGTGACGGGTTGTGATTTGGCTGTCCTCAAGACGCCCGTTGCCGGGACTTCTGATTTCTTGGCGTGTTTCATGAAGGATAAACAGCGTGAGCTTCAAGAAATTGCCGCAGCAGTGCAACAGCTCCCACGCAAACATGTTGCTTTCCATATTCTCCAACAATCGTTGAGTTTCGGCCGCGTGCAATACTGGCACGCACTGCGCCACGAGCTTTCACAGCCTCTTTTCTTGAGCTCCATTCCAATCTTCAGAAAGATGTTCTCGAAACTTTGTTGGAGCAACCCTTGTCCCCAGGGCAATGGTTGCAAGCTCGCTTGCCCATCAAATGGGGGGGTAGGCATCTTGAGCGATAGACACGAAATGGGTATGAGAGTCTTCCATGTTGCCGACCTCGCTTACGTCACCGCCGGCGCCAAAGTTATGCTCATATCGCGCGTTTGTTGCCTGCGTATGCTGCCACTGCCGCAGCGATGGAGATGCAAGCCACTCAACATTTGTCAATCTTCTATCCTGCCGAGTCTGATTTGCTTTCAGATTCCAGTCGGCTCATCGACCAGGCTCACATGTTGCAGACCATGTACGCAGCTGTGCATGAGGACCTCATCCAAGGAAGTACGCCCAACAGGCACGCATTCGGGCGGTTGCTGCGCCGGGAGCGGGAGCTTGGCTTCATGGCCCCCCTCGCCAACTCGAGACTTGGTGTTTGCATGCGTCGTCCTCAAACATGAGGACGCATTCAGCGTCGTGAGCTGTAGCGGGCTTGGCTGCTTTCTGGGCTGCCTGATTCAGATTCAGCATACACACACAAATAGGGATCGCTTGCTGGCGAGCAGGTCGTGTGGAGTTCCATGCGACTCTTTGCGACATTCTGGTTTGGCCCGATGCTTGCAACTTTGCAACTCCAGGCTTTCCGGCATGGATGCTCTGTGCCAAGCAATTGTAATCGGCGCTGGCAGATGGACGCTTTCGCATTTGCCAGCATGGATGCTCTACGATAAACGCAGAAGCGGGAATGAGACAGTGGGTGCACGCCGTGTCTGATCTCTGGTTTGCCCGGTTTTCCCCCAGTGACGTACCCCCACCAAAGCTGCGTGTGTCTCTTCGCGTGCGCATCTCCTTAAAATGAACTCCTACTCCTTTCCTCCACCCCTCTTCTTCTTCTAACCCTGTCTCATTCTCTTCACTCCCACTCCCGGAGTGCCTTTTCGTGGCTGAGGGTAAGCTCGTCCAACCCATTCGTAAGGCCTTCCCAGAGCGGAAGCACCGGGTCTCCCTCTCCGCTTTCCACGTTCCAGGTGGCCCACAGCTTCCCTTCATCACCCAGCAGCTTGATGCGCCCGGCCTGACCAACCCCCAAGTCCACCCCCCAAAAACACATACATATCTATATATACATATACGGATGTTTTGTATTATATTCTGGCATACTATGCGAAATTATAAGTACCTACTACGTGTGTATGTGTGTGAGAGAGAGGTCTGTTTTCGAGAGGCTCCGCCGCGGCCTTCCGGGTTTTCAGCTCCTGTCCATTGACGGCCGTGACCCAGGTCACGCAGGTCGCGTTTAGAGCTCGCATCAGCTCCTTCATCTGTGACTTTTTCTCATGGTTGCCATGTTGATGAGGGTTGGGACATCGAAGGAGGCCATTGCTAAGATTTTTGGCATCTGGTGCGCCACGGAGATTTGAACTCCGAAGCTTTTTTGCGAACAGCCACTCTCCCACATAAGATGTGAAATTACTGTGGAGAAGTGCATGTATGCTGAAGCTGACGCCGTGTGTCTTTGGAGACTTGAATTCGCTAGCTAGTGGCTGCGTGCCGTCTCCTGTCTCACAATGACAGCCACCGTGGAAGTGTGGAAAGACTCACTTAACGGCCAAGGGCCGTTACACTCTCGTTTTCGAGCACCGAGCCGAGCGGGGACTTTTGCCTCACAACCGTCTCCCGAGGGCGTGTGACAACTCTCCACTTCTGCTTAGATCACGAGCTGAGCTGTAGGCACTGTAGGCTGAGCTGTAATTAGGAAACAGTTTCCACCCATGTAAACACCGACAATATCGTGACTTCACCCACTTAAGACTGCTGCCATGGCGGTCTGGGAGCTGCCCCCATCACTGCCGAGGCCCCCATAGAAAGGCATACAGAGAGAAGAGCAGGTTCTCGATTTATCGCTTTTTAAAGGGAACACAGGATCTGTATTCAGCTGTAAGACTTTAAGATACACAGACGAACCAGCGCAAGAAGCAAGTGCAATTGCGAATTATTTTGCAACAAGACGAGGCTTGTCCAAACTCGATCTATGTCGACAACCTACAACCCCGCAAGACCAGTAGATCGTGCAGTTCCAATTTCGCGAAACAGACACGCCAGATACTTATGGTGTGCCCTGCCGATCAAAGAACGATGGCAGAGGGTTTACACATTGCCACTGATCAGTTTGAGTAGATTTCCTTCCCATTCCACTTGGTTGGCCAGCTTGGCATCGCTGCCGTTTCTGGCTTAGTGGTCGTCGTGAATTTGCCTTCGTGGCCCAGCTTAGCCGGAACATTTTGGAGAAACACATTGCTATACAGATAACCTTCCTGGCTACGCTGCAAGGACGAGTACAGATTGCAGCGTGGCCAAACTTATGGATGCAGCCGAAAAGGCTGATGAAGCCTCGTTGGCATCACTGCCCGTTGACGTGGTGCTGCCGCTGGCTGACGTGGTGCTGCCGCTGGTTGACGTGATACCGGTGTCCGCTGACGTGGTACCAGTGCCCCCTGAAGTGGTACCGCTGCTCCCTGACGTTGTGCTGCTGCCAATCCCCGTGGATGGGGTACTGCTGACTGTTGACGTGCTTGAGCCGACATCGCTGGGTGACCTTGGCGGGTCACAGTTCTGGTAGCAAATCTCGTAGCGAACCAGCCAATTGCCTGGATCTCCAGTGTAAGCAACAGCTTTGCCGTTGATAACGAGCACGTCATCAGCAAAGGGCAAGTTGAACGGGAAGTTTAGGATTGTCTCAGCATGCTCCAACCCACCAGCGGCGTTGACAACCATGAACTCATTCCTTTGGTAGATCTTGCGGGACCAAACCTCCCAAAAGATTAGGATTGAGCCGTTGAGCTCTGCGGTCTTCACGCGAGTTATAGACTCGTCTATGTCCGTCTTGGAAGTCAGAAAACTAACCCCGTGGTTCGTTATGTTATGCCACACTCCATCTTCATCATAGAATCCGCCGTTCTCAACGTCCCCAGGCGAGAGCACTTCACCACTGGTCAAGTCGCGTGGAATCTTGATGAAGCCAAGATTTCCTGAGCTATCGGACTTCACCTGCGGCCCGACAGCCTAAGCAGCCTACAAGAAAAAGTGCTGATCAAAGCTCGTCGCCTTTCTGCCTGGTACGAACCTGTACAAAACATGCGTGCACTCTCGGCCACTCAAGCTAGACCCAGAATCTTGACCGAGACCCGACATGCCACAACATGTAAACCCCACCCCTACACTCCGCTGGTTGAGATCCAGGTTGGAATCCTATCTGCCGAGTGTCGAGGAGCATTCAGCAGACTTCCCACTGCAGAATTGTCGAGCGGTGGATCCTCCCCAGCGAAGAACACGAGAACTGTGTCGTTGAGCTCATGCAGGCCCGGGTGGGCCAGCTCGGTGTAGACCGCGTTGTCGTTCTTGCTCCACTGGTAGAAGGTCTTGCTTGCCGTGGAGATCTCCTGATACACGGGGAGAACCTTTCCTGCTGGATTGGTGCTCGAAGTCCTGTGCGCGATCTTGGGTTTGTAAATAATCCGGCCTCGTTTGTCTTCTGAGCTGGCCCGATACTCTGAGACCATGATCGCACGCGGATACGCATCCGCCAGGATCATTCCCAGGTAATAGTCATTCTTCTCCGACACCTTCAGGGAGCTGGCCCAGGTGTGGCTACCTGCATTGACCGTCCGGAGCTTCTGCAAGGTTGTGGCATTCAAGATGATGTTGGTAGCTCCTTGGTGGTTCACTCCATCACCAAAATCAATCCATTGCATTGTGAGTGTTATGGAGATGGTGTCCGAACTGGCAAGCCACACGAGCGAGGCCCCAGAGGAGAAAAAGGCCCAAAGGTTTAGCTCGTCGACCGGAAAGGCTACTCTCTGCAGCTCGTTGCCGGCCCCATCGAACTTGACAAGCTCTGCTGGGGCATTGCCGGTCGCACTGCTGGGCTGTCTGCTGTCGCCTAGAAGAAGAACTACGGCTCCAAGGCCATCGCCAACAGCACCGACAAGAAGCACGTTTGCTGACGGGACGATCAAAGAAACGGTCTCCGAGGACAGCAAGTCCAGTGAGAGCCAAGTCAATTTCACAGCCTTGCTTTCCATGTCCTCCCAGACGACACCCTCGCGGCCATCTGCATGCTGGACAGGGAAAAAGCGCCTGTAATCTCCGTACACGCACTTGGAAGTGTCAGGGCTAGGCCCAATCCCTTTGGGGCACGAAGGGCTGCCCTGGAACCGTGAACCTGTGGCCAGCCAAACCGAAGCTGCCTGAGCTGCCATCGAGCCATCCAGCCTCCACGCCCGCTGCCTCGCTTGGCCAAATGCTCAAGCGAGCGCTGGAAGGCTGGAGGATGAGGACCAAGTGGCCTCTCAAGTCATCAACCCGCGTTCCCAAGTCGTCCACCCTGAAGGTCGTCTGGCTGAAGTTGCCTTCGTGAACGTCGACGGTGGCCAGTGGGTGGAGCCCACTCGCTTGCAGGGTCCAAACAGTCGTGCGCTGGGTCACGTTCTGCCTGATGTAGAGGTTGATGCGGCTTGCAGGAAAAGAGTTGGCTGTCTTGTTGGGTGGCGACGCACTCGGTGAGAGCCTGCCCCGACACCATCCTCCAAGTAGGTGCCGGTGGTGGCGTGTCTGCTGGCAGTACGACCCAGATCTCCGCCGCGGCGAGGGTGTGCACCATCTTTCCTGTTGGGACGAAGCCCTCTGTGCTGCCAGCCTGCAGCGTGATCCGCGGAATGAGGAGGTCCTCCTCCAAGCGGTAGAGCTGATGCTTGGAGGCATCGCCTGAGGGCAACGGCAGAATGAGTTTTGATGGTGTCATCGTCTACGCTCTTAGTCCTAACATGTCCTAACCTTAATGCAAATGCCACATCTCATGACAATGGTTTGAGAACACTTATACACACGTGGTTGGACTCTCTGCGCCTGGCAGCAGCACATACATCTCCTGGTGGCTTGCGGCAAACGCCGAGGCTAGTGACTGGGGTGGCTGTATTTCGAAGGCATCGAAGCTCACATTGTGACTCACATCTCCAACGTGCACCACTCCGAGGGTGATTGGGTATGCACCGTGGAAGTAGCGCTCATCACGCGTGGTCCAACAGCCCTGCTTATCCAAGTTCACAATCGCGACAAGGGAGGCATTAGCCCCGTTGAAGTCCAAAGGATTATCGCACTCCGACACTTTCGTGCCACCCCTCTCAACAAGCATCACCGGCGAGGACGCCGCCTGGAACGATGCACTTTGGGCGGGTATGCTTCAAAAGTGTAAGTGTGCACTGGGCTCAATGAAGCTGTCTGACATAGCCAGAGCAGGTTGGACGCACCGATGCACAATGCTGCACAGCGCCACATGCCTTCAGCCGAAAATACCACAGTTTGCCAAGACTACAATGAGTTAGTTGCGATTAAGTTCAATTTGCATCGTCTTGAGCCGAATGAGCCATGGAGCGTGAGCAGAGCTGAGCAGAAACTGTCACAGTTAGTTGTGTGAGCTACACACTAGTGTGTCCACACGTGTCTTCGTCGGGGCTGCCGTGGCTGCCGCGCTGCCTGTGTCCGCACCACCAAGATATGAAGATGAACCATGGCACCATCACGTGACAAAAAAAAGCGAGCAGCGGAGCACCGGAGCGAAGCACCGGAGCGAAGCAACGGAGCGAAGCAGTGAGGTGAGCGAAGCGGGGCGTCCCAGTAGGACTGGAGAGTGTCCTTTTACACCTCTCATGATGTGTGACTCCTGCGACATGTATGGTGTAGGCATGCGAAGCACCTCTAACTGCTCCTTGATGCGAGGCTGCCTTGGACACATGGTGTAAGATGCCGCCAACATCCTCACGGAAACTCAATCCATGGCAACATCTACACCCTGCTCAGTGGCGATTCTGGGAATTGGGGGGGCGGTGTGGAGCCTTTGGATCCTCAAACGTTGAGCAGACTGAAGCGCGGCTCAAGGAGCCACTGGGTCGGTGGCATGAAACATGCATGACCATATGATACCATAGGCATGAACATATGCAAGAACATATGCAGCCATATGCATGAAGTAAGTCACAACAATGGTACATGCTTGGCCGCCGATTGCCACGACGAGCAGTCTGAGCTGGAGTCCAGGCCGTGGACATGTCTTGGAGGCCATTCTTGGCCCTTTCTAAAACCAAACCCTATCTCAAGATCTTGCCGAAGGGCTACTACGGTGTATTTTCGAGTTCTTGGAAAAACTTAACTGCCACAGTCACAAGAAAGAAACGCTGATAGCCCTTGCCGATCCATAAGCAGGCACGCTTTACGCATCCAGGCGAGCAGGGCGCCTTCGAAAGTCAACATCCAGCGATTGGCACCTCAAGCCGCGCGGAAGCCGAGGCACGAGGGGTCAGCCGATGACCTGCAGCCTGACCATCTGACCGTCTTCAAGTCTATCGGGATTTCTCGACTAAACAACATGGAGACATTCTGTGCCTGAGGCCGAACTGCCACTTCTGCCGGACGTCGAAGGCTGCCCAGCGCCTGGGCAATCAGATTCCCAGCGACCACCACAAAAAACAGGACTCAGACCTCTTTGAGAAACTGCAAAATTCTTTGGTCGCTGTCAAGACGAACAGTCTATTTTCAGGAGGCCGTGCAAGATGGACTTGCTTGAGCTTAACAAAGCAAGGCTTTGTTTTCATTCCATTATGTATTGTCATTGGTCCTGTGCATTAGCTGTTGGTAAGTCAACTAGTGTCTGTGTGCCAGAGAGAAAGGAGGGAGCGAGAGTCAGCGAGAGAGGGCGAGATAGATCTCGTGTGTGTGTGTGTGTGTTTGTTTTGTCATGCGGTGTGCGCACGACTCAATGCAGGATGCAGAGGAGCTGTTTGCCCAACGATGCACTCTGCCAGGATGTCCATCTTGATGTTAAGGAGATCGCGCTGCGGGCTCTTGTGAGCGAAAGCATCCGAAGAGAGCTGGGTTTATTGGCTTTCTCACCAAGCTGCTTAGGACCCCACACGACCCGAAGCAACGCCCTCGCTCGGCTTGGTTGACAGATGATGTCTGCTTGGACACATCATTGAAGCAATGTGCGCACAGCGAAGGACACCACAAAGCACATTCAGCAACAGAAGCGTAAAGCGGCAAAACCCATGTGCCTGCAGCCCAAACTGGTGGCGAAGCGAAATATGGCCTATGGCCCTAGACTGTTGGCAGCCTGGTAAGCCAGCACAGAGTCCCGAATTCGATTCTTGTGGCTAGTGCCTCAATACCAGCAAGCCCAGTGCGTATACTACGATTGCTACGGCGTGGACCAACAACACAAGTATTCATGCGAAGCCTTTGACGGATGTCTGCTTCATACATGCAGCCGCTGAAGCCGGCTATCTTCAAAAAACTCCGGGTGTCCACATGTGTCCACATGTGTCCACCTTCACAGGCTGGACATGGCATGCCCAACCCCTTTCAGCCCCACCGGCGTAAGGCTTTGTCGGGGTTGTTTTTTTTTTTCTTGTTTCTGTTGCGCCACGTTGCTTTGTGCTTTATGCTTTGTGCCTTGTGCTTTGTAGATCAGAGGCCCGGGCATTGGCTGGGCGAACGTCAGCTCGAGCTGGCCAGGCCCCAGTGGCAGCACCTTCAATGTGCCGTGTCGAATCGTGTCACAGTTCTCACCTACCCAACTTGGGGGTGAGGGCCTGGGACGAAAGCTAGTTAAGGTACCCCCACGGAAGAGCTTCCGTCAACATGGCATCAACTACGCCGTAACTACGCAGAAGGACAAGCACAAGCAAAGGCAGCAGGTCGTGTCACCTTTTTTCTGGCGCAGGTGCCAATATTGACGTGGCATTCCTTCTGGCAATGTGTTGGTGTGTTGCTTTGCTCTGCGGTGTTTTAGCATCTTCCGGAGGGCTCCTTTTTGAAACGCATGACACCACAACAGATGTTGCACTTACCAGGGGAACCTGTCCAATCCAGCTTTGAGGGACGCCTGACTCAAGTCAACATCAAGGCTTCTGAGTCTTTTCTTAGGGGGCTTTTCTGTTAGCATCTTCCGCTCTTTTTTGAAGCGCATGACGCTACAACAGATGTTGCACTCGCTAGGCGAAGTCTGAAGTCTGTCCAATCCAGCTTTGAGGGACGCCAGACCCAAATCAACATCAAGGTTTCTGGGTCTTTTCTTGGGGGACTTGGAGGGCCTGGGATCCACAGAAAACGGCGTTCATTTGCACCCAATATACGAAAGAAATGAACGCCAGCCTGTTTCCCCAACACCTGTGTTCGCCACCCGGAAACCGACCGGGTTTGCTGCGTTTCGTGGCGGAGCCTCCGGGGGCCCTGTATACCCTTCAGGTTGTAAGCTTCGCTTAGGTAAGATACTCCGCTAGCTCCTCAGGGGCTAGCTTTCGTGATCATGCATCCAATCCCATAGTCCTATGTCGCATACTGCTTCCGCTTCCTTCTCCTTTGAGAATGCGCGGCGCCGTGGGAACAACTCCTCCGAGTCACGTTGAGGTCTGCACGAATCCGCAGCCCAACGATGCCCGCAGCATCTCAGATGCGCCACCTCCACAATCCACAGACACACACACACACACCGGCACGTCACATGAAATTACAGGGCTTCTTTTCCCGGAGCGATCTCGACAGAGCAGGAGTCCCTGAACCCGCGCGAGCTGGCGAGCCCGGGCTCCGCGATGTCTCTTCGTGACACTTTGGTTGAAAACCTGGGGGAACAGTTTGTCTATGCTGGGGGAAACAGCGTTCACGAAGCGTTGTCGGTTTCCAGCGATCTCCCCCCTTCCTCTTCCAGCGCACTTAACCCCAGTTGGAGGGGCCGCGTGCGCTCACCGAGTCTATGAGACTGTCCTCGATTCTCGTGAGCCTTCCTGTGAGTACAAGCCTGTTTGTGTATGGTCGCACTTTGGCTTGCCAGGTCACGGGTTCAAAGAAAGTCGAGCCCCAGCAATTCCTGGGAACCCAACCAGACCCCATCAACCCACGCCAACTCCCACCGGGCCCCCCTCTCTGCAGAGGGGGATGTGGACGGGTGGTGAGTGTTGCGAACAACCTCTCACGGCGGTGAGTATGTCGATGTACGATCCCTGGAATGCGTCCGAGGGCTGACAAAAACAAATACAAAGATTATCAAGAAGGACCACAAGCAATAGCTATGCCGTGTGCTCCACTCTTTTGGCGGCTCAGTGCCGCTCATTCCTTGGGCTTGCCGCGGCCGGGCATCGTATTTGTGCTCGTAGGGGCTCCCTCTTCGCCATCCTCCTGTGTTTTCGCCCTCCAGCTCGGTGGACCTGGCTCCCTGGGTTGCGTGGCTCCGTCGTATGTCGGGTCTGGGCCAGGTGACTCGGAACCCAGGCGCCTCCAGTCTGGCGGCGTGATGGGCTGTGCAGTTTGCCCGAAGACTTGTTGAGCGCTTGCGGCCGATGGTGTTTCGCATGGCCTTTCTTGCTACCCCCGAATTTGTATACCCATGTCAACGGGGACTGCCGGCTCGGGTGTCTTGGTGCGTTGGGCTTCGGAAAGCAAGGGGAAACTTGTGTGCGCTGCGGGTGTGGAAGGTCTCTCTGTCTCCGTCTCCGTCTCCGTCTCCGTCTCCGTCTCCGTCTCCGTCTCCGTCTCCGTCTCCGTCTCCGTCTCCGTCTCCGTCTGTCCAACGCAAAAACCGACGGGGGAGCAGAGGCGGCTGTGACTGTGGGAAAGCGCCAAAGGCAGCAGTCTTCTCCATTCCTAGCTGTTCCATCGAAAGCCCCAAAGGAGCGCTTCTTAAAGGCACTGAAGTCTCGGCGACTCGGGAGGAAGGACTCTGCAGCTGAAATCTCTTGCTTTGAGCGCGTCGACGGTGCTTCGCATTGCTTCGCCTCGCCGCGGCAGCAGCGAGGGCTGGAGGACGCCCAGGTTGGTGAAGGCCATGAGCCGGAGGCCTCCAAAGAACAAACAGGCAAGAGGCGGCAAGAGGAGAAGAGCAGCGAGCAGAGAGGAGATGGGAGAAGGAAGAGGGGAGGAGGGAGGAGGGAGGAGAGAGGAGAAGAGGAGCGAGGACGAAGACTAAGACGGTATGAAGTATGAAGTTTGAAGAAAAACCTTCAGACCTACTTGGGGTGCAACATGGTGCAACATGGTGCAACATATTCCCAACGCATTACACATGCACGTCTGCGTTCCCGAGTGAGGCCTTCCAGTGAAGGCATCTTCAGCGGCTTCGAGGCCTCTGAAGACCGCTGAGAAAGCTGAGAGGGAAAGAGAAGAAGGGCCTTAAAAAGGGTTTAGAATGGCTCCTGGGGGCTCATGGCTCACCCCAATGCGACCCCCTTTTGGCGGCCCTAGCCCTTCAGGGAATTTCTGGGGCCGGCTTTGGCCGGGCTGGGCGCGGTCCACAGACGCACTTACAACTCGAAGAAAAAGTGAAAGAGTGCAGCCGGGCAGGGAGTGTTGGTTGAGGAGAGAAGGCTCTCGCTTCTTTCACTCCTTTGCCTTGCTGGGCCGACTGCGCCTCCGTTATCCTCCAGGAATTTTTACGCCTGAATTTGCCCCTGCAATGTTGTCGCGCTTGTGATATGGGGTGGTTTTCCAAAAAAAATTAAGAGTACCCTTTTTGGGGGTTCGCATAACAAAGGATTACAAGAATTGGGGATATTCGAGGCCTCCGTCTTTGGGAAATACAAAGTAAGATTTTCAGGCAGCCCATCACTGGGGCACGGGGTCTCCTGTGCAGCGCGCAGGCCCGGCGAGTGCTGAGCACTTGACATGACCGTAGGTCCGCCCTCTGCATTTTTGAGAAGACACCAAAGCGATGTTACTTCTTGCAGACTGCTCGTGCTTCCGTAGTCTTTGGCGGGCTCGAGGTAAGTGTGCATGCCGCGATGCGTGCTCCGTGCGATTCTGCATCAGATTCTGCCTCTGAGGTATGTTCGAATGATTGCGAATGTCTACAACATGTGGGCCAAGCCCTGCCATAGCTCTGCCGAGTTGCACCCAGGAACAGGGTCGCCATGACTTCGCCTCCCAAAGCGTTGTGCTCCTGCACCATCATCACCACAATCGTCAACAACGTCAAAAAATTTCAAATATAATCATCCCCTCATCGTCACCAGCATCATCAGCCGAGACCTCACTGTTTCTCTCTGGTGTGCGGCGTGTACGGCTGATCTCGTATCTCGTAGCCTCTCCGCGTGCTGGAGTGCTCTGAACTGTCTCCAGCGTCCGCCTCCCAAGAGGAGGCTGCAGACTTGAAGAAACTCTGTGCCTGTGCAACTAAAAGTAAGGACATTGTAGCTTGGCCGGCTGAACCTAGTCATTCAACTCTCACATAATTTGCTCTCCATAACAATGTCTGTGAGCAGACGCTCTCTTTTGACTGAACGGGGGTGGTAGGCAGCGATAGGGGACTCGGAAAGAGAAGGCGCCTTGCCCGAGGTTCGGCGCCATGGTCCGCAAAGCCTTTCAGAGACCAAGGCCCAGCAGCACCCCCGAGGTGGAAGCGGTCCTCGCCACGACTCACGACTCTCATGAATCTCACGACTCTAAAGTCTCACGACTCTCACGTGCGCTTCCGAAACTCTGACCAAACTCTCTTGTGCAATCGTGCGCTCTGCTGTTCAATGCTGCGGTGTTGAACGGGCCGGCCTTTCGGATGACCGAGGCTGCCAAAAAGAAATTCTGTCACAGCTGGCACTCAAGTCCTGCGCGCAGCTTTTCCCGACGGGCAACAAGAGGCCGAGCACCTCGCGAGACTTCCCTCAGGAGCCCGTTGTTGACGTTGGGTTGACGCCCTTGGCCTTTAGCTACATTTCACTTTGTAAACATGGAGAAGTTAAAAGACTGGTTCAGACCGAGCGACACCGGCCAGGTGCAATTGCCAGCCCTGTTCGCCCTCTTCTTTCTTCGGCCACGGCAGCGCCGGCAGCGCCTCCACCACATCCACCACGGCCTGAGCCTTGCAGAAGGTCACGTCTCCTGGGGGGCCTGCCACTTCTGTGGTCACTTGCAAGGATCGCCATGACAGGCAAGCGTTAAGGCTGGTCTTCAAGGACCGAAGGCGTTCTTGCTGAAGAAGAACCGAAGGGTGAGGATGTCTGGCATCCAGATCTCTCAAGGACCAATCCGCTGCGAGTCGCCAACTTCCACTCCCCCAAAGCCTTGAAAGCTTTCCACTTGCGTGGCACACGGTGTGTGTGCACAAATCCACATAGCCGCAAGTTCTTAGAAGCTCTTTGCTCTGCCGGCCCAGCTCGGCACCAAACAGAAAGCCACGCCAGGGAGTCTCGGAGTCAACGCGCAAGGCGAACTCTGTGAAGGTCGAGGAAGTACCAACCGAAGCGACGACACATGCTCTGTTGAACACGCCGGGCTGCACCAGTCTCAGGTCGAAACACGCGCTGCCTCACGGAAGGGGGGGAGAAAACTTAAGCGGAGTTCTGTGATGCAAAAAAGTCACTGCTTTTGTCACGGCCTTCCCTATCCACGTTGGCGCTGACCGTGCACTGCCGCGCCTGGCATAAGGGTCTCCGATGGTGTAAGGAACGACACGACTGGCTGACTCGCTGGTCAAGCCCAAGACAGGATGATCCCATTTGCTCTCGAGGAGCCTGCGCAGGTGCCATGGAACTTTGACTGTCGAGACTGCCCGAAGAGTTGGCATGGCGAGGAGGCAGCAGCAAGCCCGCAGGATAGAAAGTCGACAATTCGCGACAGCTAGGTTCAGATTACAAAGTCCACCGCATCTGTCGAATTGTCGCTGCCTCCTTCTTTGTCTATTTGACCTCTTTGGCCTATCTGACCCATGGGAAAGCACTAAATGAAGCCGAGTCGGCTTGACACTGTCACATTGTCATCACTGTCACACTGTAAGGCCCTGCCGCTGAACAGCCTCTGGGACCCACATGGGGCAAACACTTTTGTCTTCTGTTTGCACGGTCTGTCGCAGTGTCGCCTTTTCCGTCTTTCGAGGAACGAGAAGGACGGTTCCCTTCCTACCAGTCCTACCCGAGCGGGGAGCTCGAGCTCGGGGATGGCGGGCACTCGAGCTCTTCGAGCTCTTCGAGCTCTTCGAGCACTTCGAAGAGTCCGAGCTCTTCGAGCTCGCTCCGGTTTCCGCGCTAGCGGCTGCAGTCAGGGCAGCATCAGAAGCTTCAGAGGCGGCCAGCAGCACGGGCCTGGCGTCGGAGTTATATAACACTGGTGAGCTCGTCTTTCCAAGGGTGCCATACAGTACCCTGAGGTGGCGCCAGCACGGACGGGCGCATCGAATGCATCACATCCTTTAATGACTGACCTTTGCCAGATTCGCATTCAGAGCCGCGGCGCTGTTCAGTTGAAGAAAAACTGAATGCTCCACTCATGGATGTAGAGCTTTGACGACCTGTTGCTGATGTGCTGTCTGGTGCTCAGTATGGCTAAGCCGGCTAAGCGTGGCCCTTCATCTGTACGGAACCAGCCCCAACCCACCTCACCTACATTGTGCGGGTCTCTTCGTTTCTCTCCTCTTCCTAGTGTCCTGCCTTCTGTCTTCTGTTCTTTCTTTTGGGCCCTGGGGAGCGGGGAGCCTTCTTCCCTGCCTCCCCCACATTCCCCCACATTCGGAGAACCAAATTCACAGGTTGGGCAGACCGAGGTCGGCTCTGGCGAATCACCGCCTTGGCCTCGCTCGAACGGAGCGTCTTCTGACTAAACACTCAAAAAAAACAAACGCTCGATTGCTCTCCGCCTCCTTCTTCCGGCGTTTGGAGCTTGCCTGGAGCAAGTGCCGCAGGTGCCCTGAAACAAGCAACAGAACTTGCCACACCTCCCTTTCCAGGTGATACAGTCATGTACTACCACTTCCACACAGTTGAGTTGAACCCGCTAGGTAAAACGGTCAAGACCCTCGAAATTCTCTAACAGAAATTCTCAACGCGCAACTCTCATCCGCTTCTCAAACGATTGCAGTAGCAGCTACAGTTCGCCTCGGCTTCCTGCCAAGAAGCGTTTGGCACAAGCAGACACGGATCCGGTCTCCTTCCCCCCCCCCCATCGCTTGGAGGAGCTGCAAACCGATGCTGTGGGGGGTCCCACCTCCTCTTTTCCTGGAACCCCCCGACCTTGGACCCCTGAAACCCGCCTGAGACTCCTGGGACCCTTCCTGGGACCCCCTCCCCTTTTTTTTGAGGCCTTTCAAGACACCTTCTTTCCTCCTTTCCCGGCCTGGCTGCCGAGGCGGCGCGTGCAAGCGTTTACAATTAAGTTGCCCCGGGCCTTGGTCTCAGCATCGGAGTCGATCACCACGAGGGTCTCCTCCTCCGGTGGAATTAACAGCGACATGCAGAACACTTCACAAAAAGAATTCACTATACTGAACTTGGAACCCTAGCAAATTTCATAAATTTAGCTGTCTCTTAGGAATTAAAGTACCCAAAAAATATATAAAAAAAACTCCCACGTGCCCCTAAGACTTTAAGAAGAACATCGGCAACTTCGGGGCCCTGTACTCTCTACCCTATCTCCTCTCCTGTGTGCTGGGCGCCGGTGTCTCTTGCTCCCGCTGTCTCTTCAGCATCCTGTGTGCTGCCCACGGCGACAGCATTCTGCACATGATGGCCGGCTACACGTTCAGAGTCGTCCGGATATCGATGTGGGGTCTTTTCAGGCGACAGAGTTGCGTTGAGGCGTTTTTTCTTCTCAAGGCACTGTGAAGACAGGCACACCAGCCACCAGGGGCCGCTGCTGCAAGCGGTTGTGCACCAGGAGCGTGCGCATGCGCCGACGTGACTCCTCGAGACAGGATGAGAGAGCATTCTTTTAGCAATTGTGGGAGAACCAGGATGTGAAAACCTAAATGCGAGAAGCAATTCGTGAGCATCGCGAAGCACGACTCGGCGGATCAAGACGGGGAGCGGTCTCGCCTCCCTAGCATCGTCCTGCAGCTTTCCCCCGCAGCACTTAAGCAGCACACTTGCCGTAAGCTGCAGATGAGTGGGGGCGTTGCCTGATCTCGCCGCGTACCTTTCACCTTGCGGCGTTTCACCGCTGCGGCGACGGTTTGGCCATATGCTGAGATGCTGAGACATCAACTGAAGACGCCACGCTTTGCTTCTCCTCAGGATTTCCACACCACATGTGTCTGATTTTGAGCGAAAGTAAGTTGGTAATCTTCACAGATGCCCATGCCTCGTGAATCCGCGACCTGCAGGCATAATGATCCACATCAGACTAGCAGCTGCTAGCATACTAGGGGGGAGCTACTCGCTGCTTTCGGGAACGTTGGCCTCTCTTCGGTCCACGCTTGCTCGTCCACTTTTGAAGAAGCCTCCGGCTTTGTTGTTTTTGTGTTACTTGCTTCGTTTTGCTTCCGGTTTGTTGCTCATTCTCGCTCCTACCACTTTCTCAGGCGGTTCTCCGCGCAGGAGCGCCTGCATCTGTCTGCGCATCTGCGCGAGCTGCTGGACCTGCTGAAAGCTCGCTCCACTTTATGCTGCAACGCCTGGCTTCTCCATGCCTTTCAGATGCAGGACAGTACCATCTGCTGAAAAAAGGAATGCGCTTCGTCGTGATGTCGCCTTCGCTTGGAGCTGAATCCGTTGCAGCTCCTGCCACAACCACACGTTGGGCCTGTATGCCGAACTGCTACGACTCGGACAGTACACATTGCCTGTCCTGGCGTTTGGCCAGCACCAGCCTTCGCGAGAGGCAACGTATATTCTACATATGTACTGATGTGAGGCCCGCCCCACTGTCCCTAGCGAGTCTGCACACACGTACTACAGTAGTGGCCGCTGCCTTCTACGAACACCCAAGCTTCCGCCGAGTCCCACGAGTTCTGGGTGCCGTCAGGCCAAGCTAAGAACAATCTTCCGGGTCCAGAGTTTTCCTTGGACTGACTTTTCGCTGCCATAGTAAAAGTTGATGAACGGAACATATAGGGTGAATGGTTCACGGTTCTATTGTGCGATCACAAGTTCATGAGCATTGCGACTGATGGTGTGAGAGGGAAAGAGAGGTTAAACTTTGTCTGCCTCTAAATTTGGGAGTTTTTTTTTGGGTCTGAGTCTAAGGAAACTGATTCAGTGGTAAGTTGCCATGACGGTATCATGGGAAAACGTGGACTAGACACGTGGCTGGGGTCCCGAGGGTGGGTTCCTTCGTGCTGGGTACTAAATGAACTGGGGACCACGTAATAGGGAACCCCTTGGGTATCTTAGGTATCTTCACACAGAGAGAAGAACACTGCGAGAGCCCCAGGAGCTCGACCCAAGCATGTGCAAACATCGTACACTGTTCGCTCTCAGAGCCACGCCTGGCCAATCCCTCGCGGGCCTCGGCCTCAACAAGGCACCAACTCAACTTCAGTGAGGATGGGGGCCCCACAACAGCAGAGTAGAACGAGCATGAGTACATTGAAAACCAGGATGACACCCACCGAAATCCACCTTTCAACTTTTTGAAGCTCCCCCCATCCCCCATCCTTTCAACAAATCGAATGCCTTGAGCTCCGACTCGCTCTGCTCAGTGTCCTCGGCCTCAACTCGTGGCGTTCCGACCTCTGCACACGAGGGCTTCCCAGGGCATGCCGGGCCTCTAAACGAGCTCAGAGAAGCTGCTGTGCAGCAATCCAGCCTCAAGTCCCTCAAGGGCCCTCAAGTCCCTCAAGTCCCTCACCCTCAACACCGGCCTTAACCGCCCTTGTTCTCTCGTAAACTCCACTCCGCTCCTCAGCGCTTCTGAGTTGAGCCAACAACAATTTGTACTTCCTCTGCCCTCCCCGCCCTCGGGGGGAAAGCCCCGGGGGGGGGGCGAGAGTTGTGAGGACGGCCCCCCGCTTGGAGAGCTGCGAGGTGGAACCTCGCGAGGAGCCTCACTCACTTCCAGCCCTCGCAAAGGCACTCCACGGAGGAGAGGACCTCAGAGAAAGAACAGAAGGGGCAACAGATCTTTCCTCATGGCGCATTATTTCAGAAGCGACTCTCCAGTTTAACTGTTAAGCTCCCCTCCCCCCCAAAACCCCCGAGCTGCGAGCGGGCCCCGACCGCAGGCAACGAAGCGGCCTGTGACAAGGCCGAATTTTCCCATCCGTTCCCTTGCACGACGCATGGTGCCGCATGGAAATGGCGTGACGGTGCATGCCGCGTGCATCGAAAGCATGCTTCATGAATGCTTGACTCTTCAAATTATACTCTTGGCCATTTCATGAAGCAAGCTCGAAGAGATACCTCATATGCAAGCCAACTTTTTTGGCGAAGCCAACATGAGCATCCACCTCTTCTCCAACGGAGAGCCCCTTTCCAGGAACTCCTCAAACAAAAGCAAAGGAAATATCTTGGGCCTAATGGGTCTGCACGCGCTCTGCGGGGATTTATAACCTGCTTTTTTTTAAGAGGGGTGGCTGCTTTCCAAGGGAATGTAGAACCGACAACAAGAACATTTCCACTGCGCTACGAAGCTAAAGTTACAAGTTCACACTGGCGGGGCACGTGGTTTGCAATACGCTTGTGCTCAACCGAACTATGGCCTAACCAAACATGTAAGCTCAAAGCAGTTGCCAAACACCGCAGAGCTTGCCAACCACTGCAGCAAGATATTCGTTGCAGCTTCTCACAGCTGCTTGTTTGCTACAACTGGGCAAAGCGCTACTCTCGGGAAGAGAAGCCGTTGAACAATTAAGGGACATGTGCAACGATTGAACCGATCGCTGCATTTTCTTGTTGGTTTGTGTTTTGACATGCGACGTATGGCCTCAGAGTCGAAAACGATTTTGAGACTTGCGGTCCTCTTCTCGGGGAATTGAATGCTGAAGTGAACTGACAGCTGGAGAAAGCCTTGCTTTGCTGCAGCACGCAGCTCTACACATTTTGCACCTGCGACCCCACCGCATGTGGCACTCAGAGTCCAAGAAAAGCCTTTGCGGCGTCCTCTGCATCAATGTCGGCATCTTTAGCCTTGCGTTTGCGATTTTCAGGCCTTGGCCGTTTCGCCTTGGCTGCTTTGTACTTCTTGCACGATTTCCGAATGACGGTAGTTTTGAACTTGGCCATTTCCTCTCTCGTGCTTTGCGGAAGCCATGCTGCGAAGATATCCAAGTCCGAGAAGGCGGACATTTCAGCTTTATATCATATGCCCCGTTTCTTGTAGGCCCCACTGCACATCGAAAGCCCCAAGCCCCATGTCCTCCACGGGAACCGATTGCCGACTGGAGCTCGTTGGCCTCTCACAAGCAAAGACATTGAAATGCTTCCCAGTGCTTCCCAGTGCTGCTCTCCTCGACTTGAGGCCCTGCCAACGAAAAGCCGTGGGCGAGTGACTTAGGAGTTACATGAAGCCGGTCAGGTTCGTGATGTTACACAAAGTGGGAGGTTGGGGCAGAAGCTTGGTGGGGGCGTAGCGGGTGTGTGGTGCATGCTGACAGAACCTCAAATACATGTTCCGTCTCTGGTGCTTTCGGGGGTTGTGGCAGTTGTGGTTGTTGGGGATGCCAGATGTGCTGTCGGAGGAAGATTTGCGCATGTTTTGTTCATCTTTGCTCTCCCGGGACTCCAGCGCCGCAAAATTTGTGCGCGGGGTGGACAGGTTTACGCCGGAAATCGACCATGGGAATCTACTGTCGGATTTGACCGGAAGAGATTTATTTGTCTGCCCAAGAAATTTGAGCTATTTGACGGTGTACTTCTGGGAGCGGGGGAGCGAGGGTGGAGGAGGGTGGAGGAGGGTGGAGGAGGGTGGAGGAGGGTGGAGGAGGGTGGAGGAAGGTGGAGGAAGGTGGAGGAGGGTCGAGGCCGGTGGAGGAGGTTGGGGGCGGGTGGGGGCAGGGGGGAAAAACGAAAGACTAGCTACACTGTGCATGTCGGAATGATTTCCCCTCTCCAAACCACTTTGGGTCATGAAACGAGCCGCGCAGGCGATGCATTATCAATGCCAGGCAGGCAATTACCCGCAAGAGCAGCGAAGCGGTGAGAGGCAGAGTTCGTGGGCATGCCATGCTTTGAGCACTGCCCAAAAAAGTCTCAGTTGCATTCTCTCGCTTGCGCTTGGCTGGCTGTGCCCTGAATTCCGCCGGCTTCGGAGAGACCTGCCAGACCAATCATGAACCTTGACTTCACATGTAGTATCTGCAGCGAACACAAGCATGACCGCAGAAGCAGATACATAACAAGCACGAGGTACGCTCTACGACTCTGCGGAATTCATAAATTACCGACGCCCTCTTGCGGCACGCTTCCGACATTCTGTCCTGCCAATCGGATTTCCGATCACGTGGACGTTGCGAAGTCCTCTGTTGGTTCAATGTCTCTAAAGCCAAATCACATTCCCTATACCTGCCAAGTAGCGCCCCCTGCGAGTGCAAGTCAGGTCGTCAGCCGCAATAATCGCTTGTTGGTGCTGCGGCATTAGATTTGTACTTCAACTCTCACGTCACGTGTGGCTTCGTGCGGCGTCCTTGTCCCAGCCTGTCTTTGGATCCTGCAATGCCACAAGACATGACAGGCAATGCATCACGCTGAATGTCTGCCGGAAGCCCTGCCTTATATGGAATCTGTGGCGGCATGTCTTCTTTGTTGGGAGAGAAGTTTGCTATGTCCTGGCAGACCGATGGGTAAGACCTGTCATACTTTGCCGTAGGCTGTGCATGCCCGTCTTTCAAGGACGTGGGCAGCATCGTTCCCTATTCGCTGCCAGCTTCGTTGGCTCCTTCTTGCCCTTCACCGTGGGGATATAGGGCGGTGTCATCATGAAGTTAGCACACTCCTCCCAGCTGAAGCCCTGGAACCAGGCCTCGAGCAAACGAGACCGTTCCAAGCAGGGAACCCAAAGAACTCAAGGAACACAAGGAACCCAAGGAACCCAAGGAACCCTCTCGCACTTTCTCACGTTGCTGTCGGGGCGCCTGCTGCTTGATGTTCTGGGTGCCCCCTTTCTTCATCGGCAGCCGCTCGCCTCGGAAGAGACAGCGGCCCAAGAGAGCGACCGCTGTGTCGAAGCAACAAAGAATCCAACGTGTGCCGAGATTGCCGAGCTCTCTGGGCATCAGGCTGGGGGATGCGTTGCAAAGCCCTTTCACCAGGGTTTCGATATTGCCTTTCAGCTTCTTGGGGAAGTTCACCTTGTTGATCCCCTTCTGGACCTCCCGTGAGGTGACACGCTTTCAGCCATGCCTTTAAAGCCTCAGTTGGCCTTGGCGTAGATCTGCATGGGTGAGGCCGACTCAAAGGGTGGATGACCCGAGCACAGCTCAAAGGTCAAGATCCCAAGCGTCCACCAGTCCACCTGTCAGACTTAGTTTTTAGACTGTGAGTCCCAACATACTGGTCACGCCTCAACCCTTTGGGGAAGCTGAGGGCAGGTCAGCCAACGTGTGGCCTCTTTGCCAATGCGCAAGCAAGCACGCAGCGGAAGCGCAGCAAGAAAGCGCGGCTGATTTCCAAGACATGTCAACAGTGCTTTGGTCTCAGCCTTTGGAGGCGATGAGCTCCGGAGCAAAGTAGTCCTTCAGACATGTCTTGGGTTCTTGACAGGGATGTTGTGCAACTGAAGGGTCACTAGATTATTTGTGTGTGTGTGCGTGCAAAAAAAGGGGGAGGGGGGCGGGTTGTTCTTGCTGTCCAGCGGCTGGTGTTCCACATGTTGTGAAGGTCTTCCCAGGTACAACCTCCCAAAGACAAAGAGAAGGCAACACAAAAAACGGAGAGCTGGACTTCCAATACTGCCTTACACTGCGCAAACGCCAAGGCCGTCAAAGAAACTTTGGCCAGTCCCATGTCCGTGAGCTTCACGTGGCCCGTTTCGTTCAGCAGCAGGTTCTCCTAAGCTCCGACTCAGGAATATGAAGGAATATGAAGTCTGAAGAACGCTGTTTGCTGTTTGCTTTGATTTTTACCTGCGCGTTCTAAGCAACATCTTCTACAACAATCTCTTCTTCTCGAACACGAGGCGCCGGTTTTAGGTCTCGGAAGATGATCTTCTTGCTGTGGAGGTGTTCGAAAGCGAAGACGGTGCCCGCCACGTAGAACTTTGCACACTTCTCCTTAGAGGCACAAAAAAACCGGAAGCGTTCTAGCCTTTGATGTCCTCTCTGCTGAGCCGAAGCTTCGTTTCCCCAGAAGTTCTTCTTGTTGTACGTTGCATAGAGCTCGCCGCCCAACGCCAACTCTAGGAGGAAGTAAAGGGACTGGTCATAGTTGTAGGTCTCCTCAGCTACCAGTCCCAGGCATACGCTCTTGAAGCCAAGTCTGTTTTTTCGGATTCCTCCTACAAGTGCATTGTCAAGCCAAAGGTGTTTTCTGCAGGCCGGCTTAGGGGTTCTGGCTCAAGGCTGTCAGATCTTCATCGATTCGGAGGTTCGTCGTCGATTGTCCTGTTGTGTCCTACCTGCCCCTGGCATCTGCGGCCCTTGCGCTGGAGGGTAGAGAGCAATTCATGTCTATACACAAACACACACATATTTTTTCTCTATATATGGTACCCGCAAGACTCAAGCAAGCAAGCTCAGGCAGCTCAGGGAAAAACCTCGTTTGGGAAAAAACACCCTGAGCTCCACCGACCTGCAAACTATACAGACCAGCGAGCCTGTGCGCACACCCCACTGCCAAGAGACAAGCGGAAAACCCAACACCCCACACCACACCCAAGCCAAAACCAACCAAAAACCCAAAGCACCAACCCAAGAAAAAACCCAAGCAAAGGAAAACCAAAAGAAGACCCAGCACGAACCCCTGGCAGAGAGGAGGGCGAACAACTGGAGCAGTTGCAGGCGGCTGGAAAAGTAGCGGCCCTGGAAGGCTCTGCAACAAACGTTGGAAGAATCCCCTTACACGAGCTTACACGCAAGCCCCTCAAGGCGCAGCGAAAGGGCTTGGTGCCGCAGCAGGCTTGGGGAGGCGCCTGAGCACGGCCCGCGCATTCTCACGCTGCAAGGTGACGTCTGGAGGAGCTGATCAACCACCAGTCCCGTGGCCTCTCCTGTTTGGGCAGCTATGAGTGAGCCAAGCGCCTTCCACGTGCGCATGGCCTCGGGGGCCCACCCCCCTGCACAAGCCTCCGCAACGAGCGGCACGAACTGAAGGCCGGCCGCCGTGCACTACATGGCAATTTGTTGGTGCGAGCGTACCCCCCCCCCCATGTACCCACGCCTTTTTCCAGAATCTCAGCTTTTCAGAAAGGCGTGGGTTATGGGGATCGGGTGAGGGAAGCACGATTACTTGTAACCTTTTTTTTGCGTACCTGTAACTTTCTGCGTTTTTGCTACATTTACTTGCTTGTAACTTCTTTTTGTGCTTACTCGTTACTCGTAACTTTTCCGTGCCGTTTCCCGAGGAGGGGTGCCAAAACCCTTGCTTGCCTATAACTTTTTTCGGCCTCAAACTGTGAATGCTGTGAATTATAGCATATGCAGTCCGTTACAGGCTTCAAGTCTTGCAACTTGCAGTCTTGCGGGACTTCTCGCGCTTAGGCCTTATCCCTTAGGACTCCCGGGGGGCTTAGGGTGTAGGTTTTAGGGTGTAGGGTTATAGGCCCTGTCCTACCTATGGGAGGTGCCTGTCAATAGGGGTTTTTGGGGCTTAGGTGCTGAGGGTTTTTTGGCATTCAACTTGAATGCGCTCTTGGATTCACGATTCAAGATGCCAGGGCAAGTTCTCCCGGGCAGCTTGAATCTTGAATCTTGAATCTTGTGCCTTTTGAATGCATTTGAATGCGTTTCATCTTGTTTCGAATCGGTGTCACCTAGCTGCATTAAGGAAATAAGCTTTCGGGAACGGGATCCCACCCTTATGGGCTTAGCGCTTTAGGATTTGAAGGGCATTGAGAAAAGAAGACTTAGGGCACAACAGCTAGGGATCCAGCTCTTCAGGATTTAGGCTCAAGTTTAGGGAAAAGCCGCTTTCTAGGCCCTAAGCCACACGCAGTCCCACGATGTAGGGCTTAGAATTTCGGATTTGGGCTTAAGTTAGGTTTTAGGGTTTAGAAGGCTTAGAGTTTAGGGTTTTGGCTTGCAGACGTGCATCCTTAGGACTTGGAGCTCTCCTAGGGGCTCTCCTCTTGAAGATTTACGGACCCCTCTTGGTGCTTAGAACAGGACTTTGGGAAAAACATTTTGGGAATAAGGTGGGGAAGAAGATGTCGGGATCCCACCCTTTAGGGCTTAGCGGGAATAGGACCTGTTTTCAAGATGAACGGACTCTCTTTTCAGTTCGGGAATAGCATTTGAGAGCAAATATAAAGGAATATGATTAAGGGATCCTGCTCTTTAAGATTTAAAGAAAAGAATGAGGCAACAACAGCCATTTCGCTTTCGGATTCAGGCTTAAGTTTAGGGTTTAGGGATAGGGAATAGGACATAGGGAAAGATATTCAGGGATTAACATGGGGAAGAAGATTTCGGGATCCCACCCTTTAGGGCTCAGCGAAAACGAAGTAGTGAATAGGATCTGTTTCTAAGATGTGAGGACACCCTCTTCAGGGTTCGGGAATCGGATTTGAGAGCAAATATGAGGAAACAAGATCAAGGGCTCCCTAATTAGGGCCCTCATAGGGGCTTTCCTCTTTGCGATTTGAATGACCTGAAGGAAAGAAGATTGAGGGAGTAGGATTTCGGGATCCCACGCGTTCCTAGAAAACCTCGACGCCAAAAAAAGGCTACTGATTTAAGTGGCAGTTTTCACGGGGTAGTGGCAAATTCAGGGTCTCATGTTCACTGCTTTTTGACTGCTTTTTCGCTTGCGTTGGTCATCATGAGGGGACTTTCGCATCCAGTGTGCACATCTAAGCCATTTATCGCTATATCAATGTGGAGATCATCCTCTATGCTTCCCGGCTCTTGCTTCACACGCATCTGACCCTTCAAGAACTCCATTCCCTCGAGAAGAGTCTCGCAACTCCACAAGCTGGAGAGCGCAGGGATGTTCGATATCCTAAAAAAGGGGCTTGAGCACGTTAAAACAAGCGCGCAAAAACAACGTTTACGCAACTACGGTATTTTACGCCACTTTATGCGATTTTACGTCACTTTACGCGTTTTTACGCCACTGATTTTTTCTTACAAAACTAACCCCACCAAAAAACTTTTAAGACCCCACAAAACCCCGCAGAAACCGCACAAAACCCATCGAAACCCGACAAAAGCCTCCAAACCCCGCAAAAGCCCTCCAAACCCTCCAAACCCCGCAAAAGCCCTCCAAACCTACAAAACCCCGCAAAAGCCCTCCAAACCCCCGCAAAAACTTTATGGGATTATAAATTTACAGAGCTATAGAGAAAAAAGAAAAAGAGATAAA